AAAAAAAAAAAAAAAAAAAAAAAAAAAAAAAAAAAAAAAAAAAAAAAAAAAAAAAAAAAAAAAAAAAAAAAAAAAAAAAAAAAAAAAAAAAAAAAAAAAAAAAAAAAAAAAAAAAAAAAAACAGAACAACATTAAAACTATCAAACTGGAAGATTTTATTATTTAATGATTAAACATGAAATGAACCCAAAAAGGTAAATATTACATTTTGTATCATTATGTCACATACCTATGTTCAGATTGTGTTTGTGGCCCCTGTATATCATAATGTTATATACATATGGGATATTACATACATACACCTTCCCATTCTGTTTGGCACCATTGATGTTATGGTCTTTGGTTTTTGACCAGAACTGTCTCAAGATCGTCTGACCCAAATTTGGGGATGATCTGATAAATGCTCAATACAGGATGTGTTGAAAAATAAAGCAATAAGCCCCAAGAAGCCGTGGTTTACAGTGAATTTATAACAGCTAAGGGGTGTCGGGCTTCGCGTCGTGCCTAACAACGCCCCTTAGCTGTTATAAATTCACTGTAAACCACGGCTTCACAGGGCTTATTGCTTTTATAAAACGGTTATTCCATATACATAGTAAGGTTTCACAGAATAAAACAGAGCACATAAAGTGTAATGATATAAATAAAAACATTATTCTTCCACCCAACAATGTAGTTCCTCAAGTGGTTGCCGAGCAACACACAGAAGTAAACAAAGGTGTATGTTTGTAGTGTAATTTACAACAGCTTCGAACGCGGCTCAACCAATAAGAATCAAGGACCGAAACTATCCGTTTTATAAATTATTATTATATATTTTTAAACAAAATTAAAGTTACAAGCAAAGGTCAGTGCAAGTTTGACCTCCTGGTGGCACTATAGAGATTTAAATTTAAATGCAGACATTCTAAAGCATAAGTATAAGCCAAAAAAACATACAAACCTGTGTTGCCTTTTATATATGAAGACTCCAGTAAGTACACAAATAAGGATGAAGACAAGTGAAGATACAATGGCATAAGGCCCAAATCCAACGCCTTGAACTCCTATAATGATATAATTTTAAAAGGATTATAAATAATAACTCTCACACATCATGAAGTCCAGTTTCTATTTGACCACTCCTATTGAAAAATGGACCAAAGAGTCTAATATATAGAAGCCGAACTCATTAACATGCATTCCTGCAAAAATCCTCCAAAACATATTGGATGTAACTCTATCAGTCTGTACTTACTTCTAATACTGAGGAAGGCAGTATTTTCCTGTGTTTTACCACCCCAAAATTTGGCAGTGCAGACAATTTCATCTTTCTCTTCATATCCAGTAGGAACAAAGGTCACAGCGGACACTGTTTCCCAGACGCCTCCACCCATGTGACTGTGGCTGATAGTTTCTCGGGCTGTTGGGACGCTCCAGGTGATTTGGGGAGGGTGAGAGGAGCATGTGTGGTTGACTGAGCATTTGACGGCGACTCGTGTCCCGGATAAGCCCCAAGAAGCCGTGGTTTACAGTGAATTTATAACAGCTAAGGGGTGTCGGGCTTCGCGTCGTGCCTAACAACGCCCCTTAGCTGTTATAAATTCACTGTAAACCACGGCTTCACAGGGCTTATTGCTTTTATAAAACGGTTATTCCATATACATAGTAAGGTTTCACAGAATAAAACAGAGCACATAAAGTGTAATGATATAAATAAAAACATTATTCTTCCACCCAACAATGTAGTTCCTCAAGTGGTTGCCGAGCAACACACAGAAGTAAACAAAGGTGTATGTTTGTAGTGTAATTTACAACAGCTTCGAGCGCGGCTCAACCAATAAGAATCAAGGACCGAAACTATCCGTTTTATAAATTATTATTATATATTTTTAAACAAAATTAAAGTTACAAGCAAAGGTCAGTGCAAGTTTGACCTCCTGGTGGCACTATAGAGATTTAAATTTAAATGCAGACATTCTAAAGCATAAGTATAAGCCAAAAAAACATACAAACCTGTGTTGCCTTTTATATATGAAGACTCCAGTAAGTACACAAATAAGGATGAAGACAAGTGAAGATACAATGGCATAAGGCCCAAATCCAACGCCTTGAACTCCTATAATGATATAATTTTAAAAGGATTATAAATAATAACTCTCACACATCATGAAGTCCAGTTTCTATTTGACCACTCCTATTGAAAAATGGACCAAAGAGTCTAATATATAGAAGCCGAACTCATTAACATGCATTCCTGCAAAAATCCTCCAAAACATATTGGATGTAACTCTATCAGTCTGTACTTACTTCTAATACTGAGGAAGGCAGTATTTTCCTGTGTTTTACCACCCCAAAATTTGGCAGTGCAGACAATTTCATCTTTCTCTTCATATCCAGTAGGAACAAAGGTCACAGCGGACACTGTTTCCCAGACGCCTCCACCCATGTGACTGTGGCTGATAGTTTCTCGGGCTGTTGGGACGCTCCAGGTGATTTGGGGAGGGTGAGAGGAGCATGTGTGGTTGACTGAGCATTTGACGGCGACTCGTGTCCCGGGCTCGATGTCTTCAGGGAGGGATGACATCACAGGTTTATCGGGTGCTTTTTAACACAAAGACATTAGGTCGTGCACGAAATACACTTGTTCATAAATGCAATTTTTCAAAAGTTTGTGAACAAAAGTGTATGGTTATATTTCCTCACCCCGCATTATAATGAACACACAGCTGTTGTTGAAGCTGTATCTCTCATTTTCTCTTTCTGCTCGGAAGCAAAACGGCCCGTTGTCATGAGTTTGCACATTATCCATCTCCACAGTACAGTCTTGCTCATCAAGGTTTCCGAGGAGCCTTGTGCGGCCTTTGAAGTTGTCCAAGACATCGACTGGGTCGGTGTGGAACATGTAGCCACCTTTTTTGGTGACCCAAAGAACCCGAAGACGAGTGACATATTCCTCTTCCATCTTGAAACTGCACGGTATTACCACACATGAACGAGGCAACGCGGTGATCTTGGGTATCACGTCTGCCACATGTTGGAAATGAGCTAAAATGATATATCATATAATGGATTAATCAATATTATTTCAGAACTCAAGGTATTGTTGCTCATTATCAAAAGGCATATGAGTGCAGGACAGTAATATAAATATGAGAGTATGGTGTCAAGGGGAAAAAAATCCCCACATACTTTTATTCAGGATCTGGACTGGTTTCTGGTACTCTGTGAGAAAATCAGTAGAAAACAATAAGTAACAGTAAGCTTTTTGAGGCTGTTTTTGTTTTGTGTAAGTGAACTGTCACATTTGAGCCTTATACTGTACACAATTATGTGAATGCAGTAACAAGCCTCAATACACAAAGGGGAAATCACAAAATCTCAAAAATCAGTTATTGAGCAAGTACATAAGAAAACAGTATTTAAAACTGTCACCCTACCCCAATTCACAAAGGTAATCTAATAAAATAAAATATTTATAATTTGAGGTGTTGGGTTCTATTTCAAAGGAAATGAATAAGATAATTCTTCATTGCATGGTTACATCATATATATATATATATATATATATGGTTTGATGATCTGAATCTTTTAAGTGTGACAAATATGCAAAAAATAAAAAAAAACAGGAAGGGGGCAAAAACCTTTTCACAGCACTGTATATATATATAAAGAAGAATACCTGGCCACTATATGGCATGAGCTGAGGAAGCAGTTGCTTAGAATTTAGACTTGTCACTTAGATGGGTGCTTTTAATCTAGAAAACTCTCAACGGCAATCATCATTGACATCTGGGAAATCATCTGTTGTCAAAACCAAGAAACCTCAAACTGTGGAGAGTCTGCAGTCAAAAAGGGAAGGCGACAGAGCCCGTGCTTAAAGGAGAGTGAATATCAATATGGCTTTTGAGAAGTGGTGACAACTCCAAGATCGGAAGGGACTGAAAACTGATGCAGAGAGGGATTTTATTTTTCTTCTTCTGCTGAACATGAAAGATGATTGAGTGAAAGAGACTCAGTGGCTCAGTAGGTAGCCTGCTAATTTGCAACGTGTGATCTGATCTGACTGAGCAATCATTAAAAATGTCAGTAACATGATTTATTTTAAAACATGTTTTCATTTAGGAAGAACATGTTACTTCCTGAGTAACATGTTATACGCCCGAGGCTCGGCTCAAGCTTAACCCCCCATAATGTTGCGGGAATGAGAAAAATAGAGGAGGCGATGGGGAGGTGGAGGGATGCTGGAAGAAATGTCACTTGGGACAGTGCAATGACAGCTGTTTATATATGCTTGTGATAATGATTGACAAGACTGAATGATTAGGCTTCTCCTGAACGTACATTTGGAAATTAATTTTAAATCAGCAATAAAATCTGACATGATATCAGAAATGTTTTTTCTTGTGCTCGAATTATTCTGAAAAAGTGCATGTTTCAGGTTGGTTCTGGCAAAGCTTTTGTATTGCCATACCATTTTGTGGACTAAATTAACGCAGATCAAGCACAATTTAGTATGACATTACAATATAGCAGATTTTAATCAGTCAATGTGAGATTTTCACATTTCTATAGGTATAGAAAGTTTATAAAAACAAACATAGCAAACATAACAAATAACAAAACATGGATACATCACACACATCCAAGAGGTCTTTATATTTCTCACCCATTTCACGTGAAACGGGCCTTACAACAGAATTGGCATCCGCTTGCGTTCGAAAAAAAAAAACTCTAATCTAAAATCTAATTTTTTTTCTTTGCTCTCAAGGCCTGGTCATCACACTGTCCAAGATGCTAGCTAAGGGGCTAAGACAAGAACGCTGTTTTTGTTCATGACTGTTAAAATAGTTCTGGTTAAAAAGATAGAAAGTGCTACCTCCGAATTGCAAAGGTTGCCTCTGCACATATCATACATGAAGCTGAAAAATTACTCACGTTGTACATGTAAAACAACTGAGGTTTTAATGTCTCCTCCAGTAAAATATGCAGTACATATCAATTTCTTTCCATGGTCTTCTTTTGCACCCAGAAAGGTTATGTTGGAGTAGGTGATCCGATCTAAACCTGAAAGTGTTTTGCTCCACTCTGTGACCTGCATGTTCTCATAGTTCCATGTGATGGTTGGATTCTCTTTCTGGCAGGAATGGTAGACGCTACAAATGAAGTTCTTTGCGACGCCCTCTGTGACATCTGCCAGTTCAGGCTCAATCGTTATGTTATGATGAACACCTGAAATTGAACTGAAATCTTGTAATAGGTCCACCTGTTGCATTCAAAGTGAATTTATAACTAAGATAACACAAAGCAGTTCATATTTGTGTTTACTCACATTTTGACATTTTGACCTCTGTAGCTTTCACTTTTATGCCACCATGATGTGTTACTGAACACTTAATAGTCGTGCTTTCTGCCTTTACGACACCTGTACGTGTCAGAGTTATTTTCCACAGGCCGTCTTTAATATGTTCATCCTTTTTTTGATCAGATCCTTCTATACCGTTCAGAGAGATGCCTGGTTTTCTGTATGAACACGTGTGGAAAGTTGAACATTCTACTGTGATGGCGTCACCCATCCTTTCACCTCCATAAATACTGATGCTGGGCAGCTGTGGCTTTTCTATAATTCACAAAAACATTCAAATTATTACATCATATCACCTTGTTAACTATACAGTGGCTCCAAAATGTATTTGGAAAATGTCTGAATTGCATTAGATAAAAAGTGGCATCTGCAAACAAATACATGAATAGAGCTTTTCTCAGAATTAACTGATCTTTTCTGAGCCACTTTTTAAATTGTTTTAACCAACTGGTCATGATGCCATTTTTTGTGGATGTATGAAATCAGTTCCTCTCATGTCAAGTCACGGCAAAATTATTTTGCTCAAAAATTACAATAACAATTATTAATCATGATTATAGTAATTTTAGAAATTTAGAAAATTATTGCACTTTCACATAAGCATGTGTCTGAGCTTTATTACCAACAATGCTGAGGTTTGCTTGCAGATGTAGTTTCAGCAAACAGCACAAATGACAGCATGAAAAAAACAGACTAGCTGTATTACACTGAGCAAAATATTGCAGTGGAGATCGAACTCCAACTTGCCAGTGCTTGCCAATGTTTTTAGATAAAGATAAAAACAGAAATCATGATTAAAATATGGGTTATCATGCATCTATTGCATTGCCTTTTTTAATGTTATTTTTAAAAAATGGTTTAAAGAATGTCAATATGGCTACAAAATATTTCACCACAGTCTGTAAATTTGTAAAAAGTTTAAATAAGACAAAGATTATTGGAGTATGCATTTACAAGCAAATACTATTTTTGTTTTTCTACACCATTTTTTGCAATATTTGGACTATCACATATTACAGGAATATTATTACAAGAGTATTTACATACCATCGACAAAGACTGTAGAGGTGACATCATAAAATTTGTATGTGCGCCATCCAACATTTTCAGGGTCAATCCATGTGTATAATTTCTCTCCATGGTGGGACAGTTCAAGGTTTTTGATCAGCAGACTGCAATCCCAACTTGATGGTTCACGATATAAATAAGTTTTCTCTCTGAACTTCTCAATGACATCATTTGGATGCAATGGATCATAAACTAAAGGATAACCTCTAGAGACCCACTGATACCACACAACTCTATATGGGTTTTTGGGTGGGTTTGATGAGTAGCTGAAAGAACATGGTATGACCAGACAGGAACCTTGGAGGCCGCGGATTTCTTTTGGCATTCTCACTTCCCATCCCAAAGCATCATAAAGCAGAACACCTGTGGGACAAAAGCTAATTAATATTAATGGCTGAATGGAAGATTAATAAATTTTTAATAGCTAATTTGTTGTGAATTAATTTCAGTATCATTATTGATTTTATTGATTAGTTGTTGCAGTTGTTGTGGAATCACCACCCATCAAGGTGAAGTGCAGTTGATGCTGATGTAAACCAATTGTAGGAGACCTCCAAAACAAAATTAAAGTCACCATGAAATCAAAATTGAAAATTCTTATTTTTTAATGGAATACTGTAGTGTTTATTATAAATAATTTATCCGTGCACTTCATTATTTTTTTTAAAAATTCACGTGCTCACGTAATCTTTAATCAAAAACGTTAACCTCCCCTCCCCCTCAAAACGACTCATCTTCTCTTCCGGACATGAGCTATGGCGCAAGGGCGGAGCTAGTGACTTGAGGGGTAAACGCTGGAATAAACGACAGGGGGAAAAGCTGAAGCTTCACTTTATAGCACTGACACCAATCATGAGGGAGTATGTTACCCCTAAACATTGAAAAGATATTAGTATATTAGGACAACATTACTCTTAGGACATCGCAAACTAATTTTTTTCATGAATATGACTTAACCTGATGGAGGTTCAGTCATTCAGGCAGTCTCTCTCTCTCTCTCGCTCGCTCGCGCCGTTTAGGCATGTTTTGTGCCGTTGATCGTCGTCGTCATCCTTAATAAATAAAACATTTATTCATGCTTGGGTGTCGGCTGTGAATCCAGTGGAGAGAAATCCCCCACCACTAACTGCAAACTGGCATTCAGATCTGCCTCCATTTTGTTAGCAACGCCCCAGCTTCCAACGATCCAATCAATTCCCGAAGGACGAAATAAAGTCCCGCCCTCTCATTTCAGATGCCGTATACTCGGATATATGTCACAGTAGAGAAGAAAAGACAATAGCAACTTC